AAACTCAAATTTTTACTTTAAAAACAGAAGAAGGAGATCTATTACTGCCCCTAAAAGAGAGATTCAGGGAAGAGAAGCTTGTTGGTCTTCTTCCCCGTGCAGTATCAAACAACCTAACAAAAGATACTACTTTTCCCTGTGTTTTTCTAACTGAGCTACTATTTTAAAAGTTGTTATACTCCACAGCTACATGATGTCTGCATCATTGAAAATGTTACTATACATTTGCTATGCCAATAAAATCTCACTAGAATAGTGGACTAGTGAGAAGAAAACACTTTCACAGTCACTAAATGGCAAAAGAACTGAACTGCCTATATGACAGATTCTACTTCCTTCCAAATTCTGACACATTAGCAGAGAAGACATATACACAGTAGAATACACAGAACAATGACTACACTGAAAATTTTCAGTAAATTGTGTTGTATACCTGGCAGCCATAATCCAAAAGAAGCTGTAGTATGTCCAAGTTTTCATTTTCAATGGTTATGGTAACAGCATTTCGTCCAAGCACATCCACACAATTTATGTTCATTTCACCTGAGCTGTTTTCCTCTAAGAGTTTCTTAACCATGTAATAGTCACCTGCACAAGTAATGTGGGAATGTCACTTAGTATTATTATAAAGCACTAAAAGCACGCGAACACTGTAAGTACCAGCTACCACCAAACAAGAAAACATTCCATAGCTGACAATGGACATTGAATATGTCAGACAATTAATTAAGAAGTCAAGGTAGATAAGCATTCTCTCCTCAGGGAGGAAACTAAAGATATTTCGGGAGGTCTCTTTCAGAAAAGCACTAAGGCTTTAATCCAATCCTTTAGTTCCAGTCCTAAAAACAAACACATACAAAAGCATGGGTACTTTTCAAAACTGGGACAATAGCTCATAAATAACCTGTGAGACACAGGAAGCATTTAGTTCACCTACATCAGAGGCAGATTAATAGCGCAAAAAAGTCTTAGGCTCACACAAGCCCTCTCTACAATGCTGCAGATAGGTTTGCATCTGCCTTGAGCAGAAGTCACCTTAGTCTTTTCTGTATCACTCCAATTTTAGTATATATATCATCAAAGCAGGTGTGATATGATGCTGCAAAGTTATAAATTCCAAGGTAGTAAGTTTCATGATCAAGTAAAGCTAACTACAGTAAGATGGATATAAGCTGCACTTTCCTATTTGAGTTAGGTATAGGCACACCAGGCTGCCCTGTTTAGTAGTATTCTGTTTAATTGATTCTTCTTGCCAAAGATAAAAGCTTTGAATTATTTTGGTCTCTAGGGATAAACAAACTCTTTTGCAACATAGAAGACCATGACAAAGACAGACCTTAGCGTAGAATACCTACAGAAACATACGTAGAATACTTCTAGGTACAACAGAATACGCAGAGTCTACAAGAGTACTAAACCACCTGTTATATACACTACAATTATTATTTATTTTTTTTTTTACATTTTTCATTGTGTATCCTTTTAGCTCCCTAAACCTCTGCTTATACTTAAAGCTGTATCTCACTCTGATCTTCGGGATAGACCACACCAGCAGCACAGCTGCAGGCAGTCCACTCTAACAGCCAGGCATCCCACAGAAGAGAGCACCAGGACAAACTTCCCAAGCCCAGTGGCTAACGTCACCACAGAAACACTCCTACAGTTGTGCCCTAACCTAAACACACGGCCAGAGACCGCTCTGCTATAAACCCCCCAGCTTCTGCCCCGACGCTTACCTCCTAAAGCGCGCACCACCACCCAGCACGATTCAGAGCCTGTCTCAGAGGGCAACATTTCAGACGCATTAAGATCAGTTTGATTTAAGACTGTTTTTCTACTCAAGGAAAACTAAACACGTACTTAAAGTAAGTAGCGTATTTTAGACAGGAAAATCTCTTCCCATCCACCACTATGGGTGCAAATCACAGGAAACCAGTCCCACTCATTCTGGGGATGTCTAGATAAACCCCCAATTTTACAACTACATTCTCACAGGCTCTTTAGCAGCAGATGCAGCAAATACCTTACGAACTCCTCTGACACAAAGCGAACTCGCTCAA